AATAGCTTGTCCCGCTCTTGCCAGGCTTAGGCAGAGGGACGGTGCAGGGAAGCACTGGACCCGACATATAAGCTTCTTAGGCGACGTGAGAGTTTAATCTCTTTCCCAATTGAGGGAAAGATCAGGATGGATTAGAGCAGGACAGATACCAGGAGTAACCCACCAGAAGTACATGCTGCCCTGGTGTGTTTTGGGAACAGGTGACCATGGTGCTGGATCTTTCCTCCAGCATTTTTGGAGCTTGACTCATACCTATTGAAGGGCATGTCTGAAGACAGGAAATGGAAATGGAAGGGAAACAAGAATAGAAACCTGGTGTGTCAGCAGGATGGTTTGCCCTCTGGCTTGCCTGCCCGAGTTCTGAATCACCTGGTGTGCTGTGGATTATTGCCAGGCAGGAATTTAAAAATAATTTGGCTTGGCCAAGGTCCTGCTGGGTGAAATGGCTGGTGACATTTGGGCCAGCAAGAAGGGGAAGATGCTGGGGGAGATGCTGCAAGGAGCGCTGTGACACAGGCTTTTGGCCCAGATGGGGTGAGGACTGAAGAGAAGTTGAGCAAGGGAGCCAGGGACTGAGGTGGGACTGGCAGAAGATACCACGAGAGCATCTGGAAGGGAAATTGGGAAAGAGGAGGTAAAATCCTACCTGTGAGATGCTGCTGTGGCTGAAGCCACCCTTGGTGTGCTCCTTAAGATAACACAAGCACACCATGGGGCACTTCACACTTAGTGAGGGGTTGGAGTTGCTCCATGTGAATAGCCTGTCCTTGCATGGAAGGACAATGAACTAATGCCTTATTAACTTGCAGCGTTTTGGAGCACTAGTGAAAGCTGGTGTCTGTCCAGAACAAGCAGGTGAAGAGCGGGAATTTCTCCTCCCTGCTCCCCGTCTTGAGTGCATGGCCAAAAATCACTTGCTCAGTGATTCCACCTCTCACTTGTCTTGAGACATGATGTCCATAGGACCTGGGGCATTGGGAGCTGTCTGTCTGCCTATGCCCTGAGCAAACCAGGCCTCCAGAACCACATGGCTGAGTGGTACATCACTGTGGCCAGTACCCCAGCAGGGTTTGGGGGCAGCATGTAGAGGTATATATGGTGCAGAGAGCTCTTTGAGCACCCCACCAGTGGCCCTTGTGGAGCTGCTGTTTGGCAGGTTTTATTGACACAGTGCCTTGGAATCCCTAAGTAGTGCACAGACGTGAGACTTAATGATGCACTTAATTTTAAGCATCTCTTTAAATGCTTTTCCCAGGCTGGGATGTAAACACAAGCTATGAAGTGAGCTCTGCAGCTCTCAGGAAAGGCCCTTTCCACATATGGAAAACAGGAGCCCTCAGGGCTTCCTGGGGCTCAGTCTGGGAGCATCCCTGCCCTGTGCTGGACAAAGCATTGGTACTTGCCCTGAGCTGTCAGGAGAGCCTGTATCCTTACTATTCTGCCTGCTGGGGGCCTGCAAATGTCCCTGTCTCAAGAGAAGGGCTCAGCCCCACAGCTGTACATAATACTGACATTTACCAATCTTGCTAGATAAAACAAAAAACAACAGGAAGTCTGTGTTTCAGGCTGTGGCATAAGGACCCGGCAGGACTAGGATAGCTACTTAACAATGTGCTTGCGGTGGTGGAGAAACGCAAGTCTAGGGCCTTCAGGGCTTACATGTGCTACACAGGGGTCTGCACCTCCTTAAGAGATGTTTTGAGAGGCTCAAAAGGGGGGAAGAGGCTGGGAGCAACGCTGATAAGTGGCAGTGACACAGCCAGGGCAGTCCTGGCAGGTCCTGCAGCAGTGAGTGATGTAAAAGAGCCAGGGCCAAGTGGAAAATATATGTGTTGTTGAAGCAGGGGCTTAGCACTGAGCTGGGAAAGAATTCGTCTCCCAAAAAAGGATGAAAGGAGAAAAGCCTTGAGCTCCTCTGTGCAAGCGAGAGTGACCTGCACAGGGGCCAGGGACAACAGGGGTGGGGAATGCTTGTGGGAACTGTGACAGCAGACTTAAAGCTTACTCCTTCTTACAAATACCATCCTGCAGCAGAGGCTGGATCACAGTTTGTACAAGGAAAAGGTGCAGAGATGAGGCTGATTTGAGGGCTGGAGGGAAGCACTCTTGTAAACCAACTGTGTTTGGACCCACCTACCACCTCTGGTCACTGCCTGCCTTCTGTTAAAACGAATAAATAAATAAAATGAATCTTTGAAACTTCCCTCCCCATCACAGAGGTGCTGGGTGGTCTCTTGAGCCAAACACACATACACACACACACAAAAAGATGCAGCCCAGGGAATGAGGAAGGAAAACCCCCATGTGTGCATGCACGTGTGTGTGGTGCCAGCTTTGCTGCACATGCTTCCAGTCTGGTGTGGGGAGCACAGCAGGAGAACCAGGTCTTTGAAAAAATGCGATGCCAGTGGGGCATCAGGGTGGCATTTGACCAGGCTGCCAAGCCCTGGAGAAGGGTAGTTGTCCCTGTCGGAGGAGAAGTCAAGGGGAAACTTGTTGCCATGGCAAATGGTAAAGTTTTGCTGCAGCCAGATTTGCTCCGGGATGGACCTCTCGTATTTTCCACTTGAAAGCCCTATTTTTCCTGGCAGTCACGTTGGCATTTCAGTCCTTCAGATTTGCAAAATCTAGCAATTTTCTTCCCCAGCACGGTGCGCTGAGCAGTGCTGGGCCTTTGGGCTCTCACTGACTCTCACACAGAGTGGTGGCAGGGCTTGGCCAGCATCTTCGCACCTCATCCTATGTCCCCTCCTCAACTCCTTGCACACCAGCACCTTGGCCTGATCCATTCAGGGAGCCACCTCTTCCTTTCCCATAAGCCCTCCCCTTCTGCGCATCTTTTAATCCTCACATTTTCACGTGCACCTCTCCTATCTTGGTGCTGGTAGACCTTGAGGGCCTCTTCATGCTGCCATGCCCCCCATGTTGCACCCTCCCCTTGTCTGTGATTCAGTTCCTTTTGGTTTTGCTGAGATCACTGAACTGCATGTGTTTTTACTGCCTTTTCCATGCTTCTGCTATGGCTGTAGGACTTCTTTGTGAATGGTAACTCCAGACAGGTAAGCAAGCATGCTCAGGAGCTTGGCACTCGTGAGTGGCGAGGGCAGGGCGAACATGGGGCTGTGCATGCAGGGAACACGTGCTGCTGTGGGGGGTTAACATGCTGTGAAGTGGGGATTAAATCAAAGAGGTACAAAGATCACCAGGAGCAGCAGCTTTGAAAGTTGATGCTGGGGAGGCTGCTAAGTAAGATACTGCCCTCTCTGCTGTTTGGACTGATGTCAAAAGCAACATCCAGGGCTTGACTTTTCAGATGCAGCTTAAAACAGAGAAGCTCTTACCCCTAAGCATTTTCACTGTTTAGAAGGTGGAAGTAAGTCATACCTATGTTTGGAGCTCTATTTCATCACAGTCAGAGCAGGCAAGGCATGCAAGAGGGGCATCTGGTGGTAGGTGACTCGGGACTTACCTGCCACTGCCTTCACTCTGTGCCACTTGTCCTAGCAGCTTCCTGCTTCTCCTAGCTGGGTTGTTGTTTGTTTGTTTGTTTGGTTGGTTGGTTGGTTTGTTTTTCATTCAAACAAGAAAAAGTGTAAGAAATGGAAACTTCTGTGCTCACTGTCAACCTGTGCAGTGGCTGCATGTCAGGTCTGCTATGCTTATAGACGTGTAGTGTGGATCTGTAGCATGTGGGACCTTGCAGCTCCTGGTTATGTTCCATCCAGGAGGATTAAATAGCTGTCTTTTAATTGATTAACTTTATTGAAACATGCAATATGGTAAATTAAAACTGGGGGCAGTATGAAACCTTTGGGTAACCCTGAAAAACTGTAGATCTGCCCATTCACCCATAGACGACAATTGATGTATCGTTACTGGTTTGGAGGTAACATATTTTAAGCTGCTTAGGGAATGTAGGTGCTTATGCCACACCAATTCCTGCTTTCAAATCACTTATTTTGGGAGAATTTCACTCAAAGAACAGCAAATGCTGCAGGTTCCATTTGCAAGTCTGGTAGCTGACACTTGTTAGCTTGCTTGAGAGGACTGATGCGTGAAGGGCGATTGCAGATGTTTGGGGCAGGGGTGGAGGATGAGAGTGATGCAGAGTGTGTGCAACAGCCTGTAATGAAATATTTCATGCAAGGATTTAATGAAGTATCACAAATATGTATGCTAAGAAATTCTGGCTTTATTTATTCAGCAGCGCCTGTGTGTTTGCAGATTTTTAAATCTTCCCTGTCTGAGAAAATATTTACATTTCTAACCAGTGGCTTCAAAGCCAGCTCTGGTTTATGAAATGACTTACTGCGTGTCAGTTACAGGCGATGGGTTTTACCCGTAACACATGGTGACACTCCTGATTAATGGGGGCCGGCTGTGTATCATGTTGCTATGTGCTGAGAGTACTAAGTGTCTTTGCTTCTCCGTGGCTTTTCTCCAGGCTTTTCTTTCTTTCTTTTTTTTTTTTTTTTCCCTTATTTTGTTGTAGAAGGAAGATGCTATCGATGACACTTTGAGTTCCCGGCATAAAGTCAAGGAGCTTTCAGTCATAGATGGCCGGAGAGCTCAGAATTGCAATATCCTCCTCTCCAGGTATGGTTAATGCCTTCTCACCCTCTGGGAAGTGGGGGAATGCTTAATACCCTGCCTTGGGCTGGGAGGTGCTGCTTATCCCTGAGGTGGGGTTTAATGACAGGAGCCAGCACAGGAAGAGAGCCAACGACACTTGAACACAGCTACAGCTTTACACCATTCGTGGTGGGTGGCATGGCAGGGAAATGCAGTTAACTGGGTATGTGGCAATTCTCTGTCCCTAGAAAGGCCCAGGGGGGCTGGGGTACCTGGTGAGCCTTTGCAAGGACTGGGGAGGAGGGTTGATTTCACCTTTTATCTTCCTCAGCCTGGGTTTTGTTTGCTGTTTGATGGTGGTTGAAGAGGGTCTCTGTTAGCTTGAGGAAAGCACTGGGTATCAGGAGGGTGCGGGGAGCAGCAGCAGAACTCGCCTGGGGCCTGGATGCCCAAGTGGGTGTCCTGTGCCACATCTGCATGTGCCACATCTGGATTTCTGGATGTCCCCCTTTTAGAACCACCGAACCCTGCTGGGATACAGCATTCTGTGCCCCTCGCCAGGCGGGCTTAGCACTACTACCAGCAATTTAGCTCAATCCCCATATTGCTGTCAAGGGAATAAAAGGAACCTTTTTTGGCAAGATAACTACTCCAATAAGACTGACTTCTGAGAAAGGAGAAGCTATGCTACAGAGGTCTGAAAGGATGAACCATCAGCACAGCTGCTTGAAAACAAAACCAAACCAAACCCAAAGAGCAGCAGAAAATGCCACTTGTTTTTGACTCACTCAGAAAGAAATAAAAAAAAATCATTCCAACAGCAGTAAAATATAGCTCTATTCAGAAATATTCACTCTGCTTCCTGGAAGCGCAAAAGCTTCTGTGCCACCCAGTATCAGCCAGGATGGAGCACCATCACTGTCAGGTTGGGCTTGCAGCCACAGCTGCGAAATACTGTGTTTTCCCAGACCATGGGTTGGCAGAGCTGGTGCCGTGCCTGGGCAGTCTGGCTGGTTTTCTTCCCTAGAAAGCATGTAGAGGCTGATGTCTGAAAATAAAAACCCTCTGGATGGGTAACTCACAGTCCCTGGTGCTTTTTCAAGCTCTCCCAGAGGTGGTTTGCATGCCCTGGGCAGCAGGAGAGATGAGTGCAGCGAGCTATGTGCCACTGTTTGGTGGTAAAATTGCCGTGTTTGTGGCTGTCTCTGCTCTGGGTTCCTCCTGGGAATTTTCATCGTTACTAGCAGTCCGACTAAAAAGCACAATGATGAAAGCAGAGTTTAAAGCAGCAGGCAAATGAGTATGTCTGAGGCAGCTGGCTATTAGCAAGTAAAGCCATGGGATTCAGGGCACTGGCTGGGCTGCTCCATACGTGGGCTGAGTGTAGTCACACCTGGGTTTAGGTGTAATTCAGCCAGAGGTTTAAGTGTCTAGTTGAAAGTTAAGCACACAAATAGCCCCTTTGGTGGGAAGGGGAGCTACGCAAACACCTAACTTCAAAGGCATGTTGTGTGTATTACTGAGTAAAGGTCTTAAATTCATCTCACCAGCAAACCTTTCTCTTCCAAGAAAGGGACGGCTGGAAATTAGTCACCAGTAATCAATCCAATAAAAAGGGCACAACTTTGTCTGTCAGCCCTCCCCTTTGTGTCATTTTGAAGGGGAGAGGTGGCATCAGACCTGCCCTGCAGGGTGGTCCCCAGGACTCTCATACAACTTTTCCCACAGCACTGAGGCCCTGTGCAGATGAGTGGTTCTGGGGAAGCAGCAGCTTGTGTGAGCCACTTTGGGGGTGCTTTGGGGTTTGTCCCATGGTGCTCCCGGGGACGAGTGGGAAAGGAGCCAGCTAGGCAGGGCATTTCTCTAGCACTGCAGCAGCCGCCAAATCAGTTCCACTTCTGCAAGGGACCACAATCAAGTTTCTGTCACAAAAATCACTTGGGTATCACCCTTTGGGTGATTTACTCTTGATGCCAAGCATCGAAAAGGAAGGGCAGTGTTGGGATGAAGTCCAAGCATCCTGCTGGTGGGCTTAGGTCCAGTCCCTGCATCTCCAGCAGACTCCATGTGCCCTTGGGCCAAACTCTTTGATCTCTGTCTGCCCAGCTACCCATTCCTAAGCTGGGCAGAGCAGCAAGTCCCTGGTTCCAGTGTTGCAGGGGGACTAGTCTTGCAGAGCAGCTTGCTGCAGCTGGGCTGCTGCTCTACTGCCTCTCTCTCGCGGCCACTATGGGGGTGGGCAGACTTTCACATGTGAAAGGACCTGCAAGCTTGGCCCCTGATTTAGCCCAGACGTTTGTAAGCTCACCAGGCATTGTCTGGCTTGCAGCGTGGAAAGATTACGGCCAGCGAGATACTTTATCTCTCTCTGTAGATTTATTTTTTTGCCCATTTCCCTTGCTTTGGGAGAAATTACTGCACAGTGAGATCACTGGATTTTCCTCCAGCTTGTAATGCAGAACAAGAATATTTTTAACACTTTTTCTTTTCTTCCTCTTTCTGGAGAGTGCTCTGGCGATGTCAGTGCATTATCGGGTCTTCTTCCATGAGCCCACCATATCCTTGGTTTTGCTTCCTGTGTACATGTGTGTGTTTTAAGTGTTGTTCTGCAAGATGCAAATCAAGCCCTTGCTCCATTGCTTTCTGACTGTGCTGGCAGTGAATGGCTTGTTGGATTCCTCTCTTCAGTTGAGGGGGCATGAAGCATTTTTTGCAAATGAATGTGGCTTTTCAAGAGGGTGAGTCCCTTTCCCGGTGGAATCCATCTTTCCCCTTCACACTTATTATGTCCTCTGTGGGATTCTACAAAAGCCACACAAAATAACCTCGCGCTTGTCAGGCTGGCGAGCTGTCACTTTGCATCAGCGGGCTGCTGGCTTTAAATCCCTGTGACAGCAAGTCCTGTGACCCCGTTCCTCTCAGACAGCTCACGTTCAACAGCTGCTGCCAACAATGATAATTATTGTGGTTATAGATAAGTTTCTAGCTTTCACTGGCCCATTTCCCATCAAATTGTCTGAGAAGTTGTTTTCTTCTGGCGCCCTGCGCTTGCTCTCTGTGGATGCAGGGGCAGGCTCTTGTTCTTGGCACTGGGTTGTAATGATTCCTGGGAAAAGTTTTTTCAGCCTCTCTTTTTAAATATGTTTTATTGTTGACTTTGCTTTTAATGAGCAGGGCTTACAAAAGTCACCCTCATCTTTCATCACCCTTCTGAAGACGGACGATCACGGTAAAAGCATACGCTTTAGGTGTTCACTTTGGATGAGGGGGAGCTGCTTACCCATGCCCTTCTCCCAGGAGCATCTTTGTCTCCTAGGGATCCCCCAGAATGTCCAAACTCAGGCAGTGTCTGCTTTTCACTGGGTTGGGGTCTGGTGTGACATTTGTTGGCAGTCTGTGCTCCTGTGCCACTGCTTGGGTGTAAAAAGAGTCCTCCGGCAGCTTCATATCCCACCACAGGTCATGTCCATCCTGGCCACTGCCTGCATACGGGACAGGTAGGGTGTCATCACAGCAAGCAGCAGAGGGGACATTTTCCATGGATCCTGGGTTTGCTCCTTGTACAGCAACTATAGCAATTGTCCTGGCTGCTGCTTAGCACACTCTGTGAGCATCCTGCCTGAGGTGAAATTTTAACTCGCTTCTCATTTTGCAAACCATCTCTTTGGGGGCATCCTTAAGCAGGAGGTGAGAGAGGACCAGGTACAGGATGAGAAACATGGATGCACGAAGAGCAAATACTTACTTGCCAGGTCTGTAAGGTCCACCTACTTTGATAGAGCTAACCCTTCACTTCCAGTTTTGAACAAAAGATTTCAAAACAAACCAAGCCCTTGCTATCCTGGTGTTAAAGACCAGCACCTGTCCTACTTTAGCGTCATCTTCCAAAAGCTAGCTCGGTGGTCTCAGTCTGCTCCCTGAAATGAAGCCAGAATGAAAAATACCTCTCTCATTTAATTACTTAGCGATCAAGTCAGCTCCTGATCTTCTTTTTGATCTGCTGATCAGGTTGACTTCCAAGGTTTCACATCCCACCAATAGGGTGTGTTTCTGGTTTCAGCTCATTCCTTTGTGGCACATCCAGTGTTTCAGCATCTCTTGGCAGCGCTGATTGCCAAGACTGGGGTAATGGGTTTCCTCAAAGCCCCCAAACAGGTCTTTTCAACTGTGCAACTCTTCCCTGCCTGCAAGTACAGGGGATTTTGTTTTTAAACTGTATCTGTTGCAATGGCTTTAACCATCACTGCAAGCTGGGAAGGGATAGGATGTTAGCAGCTGTTTCTGAGCTTTCCCTCTTTTACATTTAGATTATTTTATGAACCGCAATGCATTCATAAAATGTGAATTAAAATATGTGTGGTTTTACAATCAAAGTCTTTGCAGGGAGCAGTCACAGGGAGTGCTGCAGACATATTAAACTGTAATTAACGACTGTTCTAGCCCAGGAATTGCTGAGGGCATCTTTCTATCTATCTATTGCCTCAGCTTGGTTCAGGCAGCTGTCAAATAAACCACTGCCAGGGAAGACCAGACTGGTATTGCTTGCTGGGATACAGTGGTCTGTGGTTTTAGAAACCTCAAATTTGAGGCTACGTCTTCAATTCCTGTTACATCAAGTAGAGGAAGAACAAGGTAGAGGGGAGGCTGGTTTCTAGGCTCTTAACACTTTCAAGCACATTGAGACCCCACCCCTCAAAAAAAAAAATTAAAAAAATCTGATGGGTTTCCTGGGATGCTGAGCATCTGCTTTCCCAGATTTTGGATTTCTTTCCCTGTTTTCCTAGAGGGAGACTCCAATCAAAGGTGGCTGGGAGGGGTCAGAGAAGCAATGTTCAAATCCAAGAAAAACAGCAGAAATTGGCCATATTTTCCTTAGGGGTTGTGGCAGGTTCAGGGGTAGCGCTGAGCTGCTCTCCTGAGCCCAGGCTGTGCTGTGCTGTGCTGTGCTGCTGACAAGGAGTATGACCCTTGCTGGCCCTGTGGCCTTTGGGGGTGCCAGCACTGCAGGAGCAGCATCATTGGGCAAGAGTTACATATAAGCTATATATTTTCAATATGTGTATAATATACTACTTATAATACTTACAAGATAGTATAAAACAGGGGATGGCAGCTGTGGTGTGGGGAGAGGGAACTGGCCGGTGGCATTTGACCCTCTCCCCATTTGCAGCAGGGCCAGGGCTATTCTGTGCTGTGCTTTGCACAGTCCTACCACGTTTCTCACATGTTCTTCTTCATAAGACACTGTATAGTGTTATTGTGATGCTGCTCCTGGCTGGGAATTAAGCTGTTCATGTTGCATGGGTGAATAATTAAATGCTCCTGAATGCTGCCCATTTGCTGTGCTGGGAATAAGAATCCTTCCCCTCCATCTCCCAGGCTGAAACTTTCGAATGAGGAGATCAAACGAGCAATTTTGACGATGGACGAGCAGGAGGACCTCCCGAAAGACATGCTGGAGCAGGTGGGCAGCGTGTCTTGGCTTCTCCGTAGTTGCTTCATGCTGAGACCACACTGTGCAAGGCTCTAGAAACCAGTCGATGGCTTTAAGTCTGTCAGGGCCCCAGATTATTTACTAACTGCATGTTGAAAAACCACCCAAGAGGGCTGGAGCAGCAGGAAAGCAGTTTGTAGCATTGGCACTGGGAGCAGCATGGCCTCCATGTGCCATGCCTGTACCCTGGGTCTGTCCTGGGCACCCCAAGGCTGGGCCAGTTGCCTATTTTGTGGCTGCAGCTTGAAGTTTGTGTTCAGCGGGGGGTCATTTTTGAAAGGTTGTTCAGCATTTGTGAGATCTTCAAAAAGGGAATCCCACTGTTCACCCCCTCTGAATCCATTTGAAAGCATATTATGCACCGGTCCTTAAAGCTGAGCTGGTAATTGCACTTTCAGCGGAGAAGTAAGAGGATTCATTGCACAAAATTTCTATCTGCAAATAGGTAGAGCTGCAGCAAATCAAAGTCCTCTGGCAGAGCTGATGTCGAAACCTCCTTGGAGCAGATGTAGTACATGTGTTGCAAAACCAGTGTGATGGCAAGGCAGAAACAATAGACACTAATGTGATGGAGTAGTGGGAAGGAAGTCACAGGGACAGCAAAAACACTTATTTCACAGGTGCCTTGGGTTCTCTGTCTGTATATGCTGAAAAGGTAGTAGATTTAAGCATTCATTCAAAATTACCATTTTGCTCCTGAAAAACTGTGCCTGGACCTCTTGTCCACCAGTGTGCTTTCCCTTGTTTAGCTCCTGAAGTTTGTTCCTGAAAAGGGTGATGTCGACCTGCTGGAAGAGCATAAGCACGAGCTGGACCGCATGGCCAAGGCTGACCGGTTCCTCTTTGAAATGAGCAGGTTAGTGGCCCAGGGAACATGTGTTTTGGGCAGTGGCTGCATGGACTGGTTACGAGGTGGCTGTTTCAAGGAGCGTGGTTGGGAAAGTAAGTAAGTAAGCTTAATGTTTTTCACATCAAGAAACGAGTGGGCCAAATGGACAGGAGAGCAAGCAAGGTGCTCTCATCCATAAGGATCACTCATAGTGCTCCTAAAATGAGGGTTGTGCATCCCAGACAAGCATCAGCTGGACAGAGCAGAGTGGAGGGATGGGGAGAAGGATCCTCTGAGAGAGGTATTTGCTCCCCAGGTTATGTCCCAACACATTTCGCATCTCATTTGGGGACAAGCTTAGTCTGGCACAACTCTGAAAGGCTGCATCATCTGCATCATGACCCAGGTGGAAAGTGCTGTTTGAATGATAACATGATGCTCCTTTCCCTTCAAATCCTAATGAATACTCAAGAATGATATATGTAAATTTTGCCCTGCTGTATGGATGAGTCCCACTCCTCGTCTCAGGAACATCTCATCCCTGGGGCTCCTGAAAATATATGAGATGGAAAGGAAATGTCATTTCTTCCTGCTCCTGGTAGCAATCATTTAGGGCTTAGAAGTCTTCAGGGATGAATAACCTTATCTTTTGCATGCACATCCTCTAGAGGTGCTGGTTTAAAATCTTGAAGCTCCTTATTTAAATCCAAATGAGCATTGAGCTTTTTGAATTGCTTAGCTGAACTTCAAGTCGATTGTTCACAAAGTCAGTGAGTTTTATGATCTGAGACTGTACTGGGAGATCAAAAATAGAAATGCTCCTGTCTTTCCTGAGAAATGCACCAATGAACACTGGGGCTTTGCGCTGTGTAGTTGCTGGGTGTCAAAGACAGGCAGGATGGAGCTGTGAAGTTTAGACCTGAGCCCTCGGGGATGGAAGATGCTCAGAATTAGCTTTTCTATCACAGGTCACCTTTCTTCTTCACAGTCTCTTGCCCAAATGTTGCTCCCATGCCTTCATTTTTGGAAAGCACAATGTGCTAATGCAGATATTTTCTGTGATTTCCAGCATGGCTGGAACTGAGTGTGATGACTTTGTCACCTCTGATTAGTACAGTGACAGTGTGGCCCATGGCCTTGTCTGTGAGCACATCTACTGTGAGTCCTTGGTCTAAATGACTTAAATCAGACTGCCATTTGCGTACAAGTGAGATCTTGGTCAGCCAAAATACAATTGGCGTGAGCAGAGCCATCCCTAACTTGCTAAGGAAAGGACTGGATTGGACTGTGTTGGTGGATTTCCAGCTCAGGACATCATTCTGAGGACGTGAAGGTCCAGTTTCATTAGTGCTCTTAGTTGGTAGAGAGAGACGGAGTGAGAGAGACTATGGAACCACACCCCACCTTCCCTGAGATGGACCCAACAGGCACAGGACACGTGATACAGAGAATTCCCTGTCCTTTCTCTGCCTGGCTGAACATGGTGACTTAAGGGGTAGTGGGTAATGGCAACAAGGTCGTGCCAGGCACAGCAGGTGAATCTCCTCTGTGACTACCCCACGTTTGCTTGTGCCCTTGCGTGACTGGTATAAGGCTCTTTATGTGGATCCCCACACGTCTAGGTTGGAGGTGTTGTAAAGGTTAAGTCAGCCTGTGCCCTGCTTCAAAACCACTTCCATAAAGAAAAAAAGACAGGTCATTGTCATAGAAAACTCTCTTCTGTGGGGAACGGAAGGTCCAGTACACCAGCCTGATCCACTTCTTAGGGAAGTCTGCTGCCTCCCTGGGATCCAGCTTAAAGATGTGAAGAGGAAGCTTCCTACCCTGGTACGGCCCTTGGATTATTGTCCACTATTGCTTTTTCATGTAGGCAGTAATGAAGTTGCAACAAGAAGTCTAAGGACAATCAAGAGAGACTTCGGGGCCTTGGGACAACTGGTTAAGGGATCAGGAGCACAAGTAGTGTTTTCCTCTATCCTTCCAGTTTAAGGGAATGATGAGGGAAGAAACAGAAAGAGCCAATAGATCAATACCTGTATCCAAGCCTGGTGTCACCAGCAGAATTTTGGGGGTTTTGATCATAATCATGTTTACAGAAACACCAGGCCTGCTGATGACAGTCAGGGTACACCTGTCCCAGAGGAAAAAGGACCTTCGCACTGGAGTTACCAGGGCTCACTGAAGAGCTATAAACTAGATTTGAAGGGGGAGAGGGATAAAACCAAGCTCACTAGAGATAAGCCTGGACACAGCACATGGATGTTTGAGGAACAGTGTGCTAGTGAGGTCCTTCAGTCTGCCGACTTAGTGGAGGTAGGGGATGGAGATCCATGTGGCAGCAATGATGCAAGAGTATTGATGTGTTAGAAACCACATAAGCACCTGAGAATGGTCATGTAGGAATTAGGGCTTATCCCCCAAAAAAGGTGGCAGGATAAATAGCCCAACTGAAATGCACCTACACCAATGCACACAGCACGAACAACATACAGGAGGAGCTGGAAGCCATTGCGCAGTAGAAAAACTGACATAGTTGCCATCAGGGTAACATGGTGGGATGATTTGCACAACTGGAGTGCTGCAATGGGTGGCTATAAACTCTTCAAGAAGGAACAGGCAAGGAAAGAGAGGAGGTGGGATAGCCCTGTATGTTAGGGGGTGTTTTGATTGTCTAGAGCTTAATGATGGTGATGATAGGGTTGAGTTTTTGTGGGTAAGAATCAGGGTGAAGGCCAACAAGGCAGATATCATGCTGGGATTGTGTTATAGACCACCCAGCCATGATGAAGAGGAAGACAAAATTTTGTATAAACAGCTGGGAGAAGTCTCATGATCACTAGCCTTTGTTCTCATGGTGGACTTCAACTTAGCAGATGTCTGCTGGGAATACAATACAGCAGAGAGAAAAACAGTCTCAAAGGTTCCTGGAGTGTGTGGAAGATAACCTCCTGACCCACCTGGTGAGTGAGCCCACTAGGGAAGGCACCTCACTGGGCCTGTGAGAAGGACTTGTGGGTGATGTGATGGTTGAAGGCTGTCTTGATCACAGGGATCATGAAATGGTAGAGTTTTCAATTCTCAGAGAAGTAAGGAGAGGGGGTCAGTAGAGCTGCTACCTTTTACTACTGAGGGGCAGACTTTGGCCTGTTTAGGAGCCTGGTTGACAGAGTCCCTTGGGAAGCAGTCCTGAACGGCAGAGGAGTCCAGGAAGGTGGGGCATTCTTCAAGAAGGAAATCAGGCCATCCCCATGTGCTGAAAGACAAGCCAGAGGGGAAGAAGGCTGCCTGGCTCAACAGAGCTTTAGCTGGAACTTGGGAAAAAAAAGGATTGTTTATGACCTTTGGAAGAAGGGGCAGGCAACTTAGGAGCACTATGAAGATGTCATGAGGTTTTGCTGGGAGAAAATCAGAAGGGCCAAAGCCCAGCTAGAACTTAATCTGGCTACTGCTGTAAAAGACAATAAAAAATGTTTCTATAAATACACAAGCAACAAAAGGAGGACTAAGGAGAATCTCCATGTTTGCTTAATATGGTGGGAACACAGTGACAAAGGATGAGGAAAAGGCTGAGGTACTTAATGCCTTTTTTGCTTCTTTAAGAGTAAGGCCAGTTGTTCTCAGGGTACCCAGCCCCTGAGCTTGAAGACAAGGACAGGGAGCAGAATGAAGCCCCCATAATCCAAGGGGAAATAGTCAGCAACATGCTACCCCACTTAGACACACACAAGTCTATGGGGGTGTATGGGATCCACCCAGGGTACTGAGGGACCTGGCGGAAGTGCTCACTGAGCCATTTTGAATCATACCTCAGCAGTCCTGGCTGACCAGGGAGATCCCAGTTGACTGGAAGTTAGCAAATGTGATGCCCATCTACAAGAAGGGAGGGAAGGTGTATCGGGGGAACTACAGGCCTGTCCTTCTGACCTTGGTGCCAGGAATGTTATGGAGCAGATCATCGTGAGTGTCATCATGTAGCATGTACAGGATAACCAAGCAATCAGGCCCAGTCAGCGTGGGTTTATGAAAGCCAAGTCCAGCCTAACCTGATCTCCTTCTATGATAAGGTGACCTGCTTAGTGGATGAGGGAACAGCTGTGTGTGTTCTATACCTAGACTTTGACAAGGCTGAGGTACTTAATGCCTTTTTTGCTTCTTTAAGAGTAAGGCCAGTTGTTCTCAGGGTACCCAGCCCCTGAGCTTGAAGACAAGGACAGGGAGCAGAATGAAGCCCCCATAATCCAAGGGGAAATAGTCAGCAACATGCTACACCACTTAGACACACACAAGTCTATAGGGGTGTATGGGATCCACCCAGGGTACTGAGGGACCTGGCGGAAGTGCTCACTGAGCCATTTTGAATCATACCTCAGCAGTCCTGGCTGACCAGGGAGATCCCAGTTGACTGGAAGTTAGCAAATGTGATGCCCATCTACAAGAAGGGAGGGAAGGTGTATCGGGGGAACTACAGGCCTGTCCTTCTGACCTTGGTGCCAGGAATGTTATGGAGCAGATCATCGTGAGTGTCATCATGTAGCATGTACAGGATAACCAAGCAATCAGGCCCAGTCAGCGTGGGTTTATGAAAGCCAAGTCCAGCCTAACCTGATCTCCTTCTATGATAAGGTGACCTGCTTAGTGGATGAGGGAACAGCTGTGTGTGTTCTATACCTAGACTTTGACACCATTTCCCACAGCATTCTACTGGAGAAACTGAGTGCTCAGGGCTTGAACACATACATGTATTCTTCGCTGGGTAAAAAAATGGATGGATGGCTGAGCCCAAAGAGTGACGGTGAATGAAGTTAAATCCCTTTGGCAGCTGGTCACAAGTGGTGTTCCCTAGGGCTCTGTGTTGGGGTCAGTTCCATTTAGTATTGTTATCAGTGAGCTGCATGAGGGGATCAAGTGCAGCCTCAGCAAGTTTGCAGATGACACCAAGTTGGGTGAGAGTGTTGATCTGCTTGTGGGTGGACAGGCTGGATCAATGGGCTGTGTCCATGGTAAGAGTTTCAGCAAGGCAAAGTGCCGGGTCCTGCACATGGGTCACAACAACCCCATGCAACACTACAGGCATGAGGAAGAGTGGCTGGAAAGCTGCCCAGTGAAAAAGGACCTGGGGTGCTTATTGACGGGGCTGGACATGAACCAGCTTGTGCCCAGGCAGCCAAGGTGACCAACAGCATCCTGGCCTGTATCATAAATAGCATAGCCGCCAGCAGGGCCAGAGCAGTGGTCATCTCCCTTTATTCAGCACTGGTGCGGCTGCACCTCGAATACTGTGTTCAGTTCTGGGCCTCTCACTACAAGAGAGACACTGAGGTGCTGGAGTGGGTCCAAAGAAGAAGAGTGAAGCTGATGAAAGGTCTAGAGCACAAGTGTTATAAGGAGCAGCTGAGGGAACACTTAGGAACATGGTTTAGTGGTGAACTTGGCAGTGTTTGGTTAACGGCTGGACTTGATGATCTTAAAGGTCTTTTCCAACCTAAATGATTCTATGGTGGGCTTGTGTCCAGCTGCATCACGAAGTCATTGGGAGCCCAGACTTCATCAGCATCTTTGCTAAGGAGTGGTTATAAAAGAGCTGTTTGTTCATAGCAGTAGAGTGTAAAAATGCACTTGTTGAACCTGATGAATTAAGGATAGGCTTAAGGATATGCTCAAGAGCCCACCTCAGTCCACCCCAGGACAGCTGTAGCTTCAGCTTTCATTTTTTCCCATCCCAGCATAGTTTCAGGGAGAATTATAGTCATCATTTTTTAATCACTGTGCCTCAAGCGTGCTTTGTAAGCACAGCTGTCAGCAGCAGAGCAACTGAGCTGTGCCTGGAGCAAGCAAAGCTCAACCTCCACCTCTTTTTTTTTCCAGGATAAACCATTATCAGCAAAGGCTGCAGTCGCTCTACTTCAAGAAGAAGTTTGCAGAGAGAGTTGCAGAAGTGAAACCCAAGGTGGAAGGCAAGTGGCCAGACTTGCTGACAGGCTCTTCCACCAGCACAGGGAACGCTTGTCTCATAGGAAGAGCAACCCTCCGTGCCAGGGCAAGCCTGCTCTGCGTGGAGGTTGCAGTGACACAGGGAAAGGGAGGGAGTTGGTGGTCACTCTTTGGCCATGGGGACACTGAAGGGGTTGCTGCAAGACAAGGGGGCCAGTGTGCTTTTATGGCAGGGAGTAATGTCCCACACTTCTCCTCTTTCAGCCATCCGTGCCGGCTCCAAGGCAGTGCTGCAGAGCAGCAGCCTCCAGCAGCTGCTGGAGGTGGTTCTGGCCTTTGGGAACTACATGAACAAGGGCCAGAGGGGCAACGCCTTCGGGTTCAAAATCTCCAGCCTCAACAAGATTGCGGATACCAAGTCCAGCATTGACAAGTGAGCAGCTCCTGCCCATGTCTTTGGTAGCGTCTGTGAGACCCAGAGATGTTGGGGGGACTGAGGGGCCATCAGCGTTGCCTCTGGGATGTGGGTAGGTGGGACTGTTCCCCTCCCTCCTCCTGCCCGCTCTGGTACATCCAATGATGCAAGTGTCCATTTTTTGAGCAGGACAGATTTGGAGGGAAGACGAGCTGCAGATCAGCATGAGAATTGATGGGGCTTTCCCTCCAGAGCTTTCTAAATGTCAGCCAAGGCTGATGAGTAGGATCATCCTCTACATGTTTTTTTCCCCCTTTGAGAAGCCAAGAGCCATCATACTGTGGCACAGTGGACACAGGAGGGGTACCAGGGGCTCCTCCCCACGGGAATCCCCTCTGCTGCCCCCCTCCAAGCTGCCACAGCCATTGCCTGGTTTGCTCTCTCCTGCTGAGAGCTTCATGCACAGAGCAAGAGGAGCTGCATCAGATCTCAAACCTGCTTGGTGTCATCCATCAGTCTATGGAGGATGGGAGCAGTGATGCTCAGGTCACCTCTCCTGGGTCCCTCCTCTGGAGGGCCCTTGCTTGCAGGTACCATGCTTCTCTGCCCTGTGGTTGTACATAGGACAGACCAATTCCATGTCTTCAGACAGGCAGCAAGCAGTATCCTTGCAGAAACTCCAAAATAGTTCATTAGCAGGGTTGGGATTTATCCAGGATATTTGACTGAGCTCTCAACTCCCCATGGTGCTGCCATGCTGACCTCACCACTCCTCTCTCCTAGGAACATTACTCTTCTGCACTATCTCATCACTATCGTTGAAAAGAAGTATCCCAAAGTTCTGCGCCTGCATGAGGAGCTGCGAGACATCCCACAGGCAGCCAAAGTCAAGTAAGTAGGGATTTAAGTGGTGCTTAGGGAGTGCTGGGAACACCTCTCCCCTCACTTCAGCCTGCCTTTCCATATACCCTCCCTTGCTTGTGCTCCTGGCCAGATTCTGGCCACTGGGCTGGGTCCTGTGCTTGCAGCCATGTTGTCCTGAGAGCAGCCCCAGACACAGAAGTAAACATCACCTGGTGGCTTTATATCTCAGCCCTTGCAGCAAAGGCCTGCAATCCTCTGAGCCTCCGACCACAAGGGAGGAGAGCTGCGTGGAACAGCCGTTTCCTGTTGTTATCTCACCACAGAAGCATTTAATTAATTTCTAATGGTACGTTAAGTAATCCGGGAGGAAGCGGTTGCGGTGTGGCTGCAGATAAAGGGCAGCTGTTTTATCTGCGTGTGGCGGGGAGGCTTTGACAGCAGCGCGGGCAGGACCAGGCAGCGGTGCGAGAGGCTCACCTGCCTCTGGGTCCTGCCTGGCCCTAGTTTCACCACCAACATGGAGCTTCTGGTGTTTGCAGTGAGCTTTTAAACCCTGCCTGCTGCCCGGTGACATCTTTGGAGCAAGTCTCTTTGCCAACAGAGGCCCATGTTCAGCTAAGCCCTTAAACACACACTGAACTTTTAAATGCAGGAGGAATCTGTTGTTGTGCTGCAAAACCCTGAAATACGTGCTGAAGTCCCTCTGAAATCAATGAATGAGGTTCTGTTTTGGTTTTAAAGTTCAGGGGGAGCTTACACGCTTTGCTGCTTCAGGGACCTGAGCAGCAAAGATCACACATTTCTGCAGTCAGCACCTGTTTATGTTAGCTGTGGACATAAAAAGGGCCTCAAAACTGCACCTTTGTAGAGAGGAGACGGCAAATATGCACAGAGTTTATGGCAGCTCAAAGGTCTTTCAAGTTTCAAAGTGCTCTTGTAGCAACAGTGAATTCCCCATGGAAGATGTGTAATGTGCCAAGCAAACATCCTTGCATTTAAAATGTAAAATAATTGTCAGCCATAGGGATTAAATGAAGTGACAGGACAAATCTTGGCGTGCAAGGAGGAGTGTGTTGTGGCTGCACGTGTAGGCACTTGCTGAGAACATGTTTGAGCAGGGCATGCTCCTCTCCGGTGGAGGCTTTGGCTTTCTCATGCTCGTGTATCTGCAGCTGTTGTACAGATACACGTATGGGAAAGAAAATGTCTGCATAGAGGGGGTTTTCCTCCCCCCTAAACTTTATCATTGTGCTCTAAACTGGACACCATATGTAATACTTGGGTTTGGTCCAATCTAGAGCGTAACCAAAAAGTTCCTAAAGCGCTGGAAAACCCTAAATTCCCACCAGCCCTGCAGCTGTGAAGCAAAATTGCCGCCTCTGTCAATCCCACCGCTAGTAATGAACTGCTGGAGCACATGGCTCCCAAAACTGCATTTTCCCAGACTAAACCTGCCAGGAATGCTTGCCCTGTGACCCGACGTCAGCATTTCCAGAGACCCCAGCCCTAGGACAGACAGCCCTGGAAGAACGTCAAGCCTGTGGTCATCGAGTCTTTGTGAGAAAGCTTCTCCTCAGATGCAGTGGTAGAAACCCGTAATCACTTGAACTTGAAGCTCATTAAGGGCTTGAGCTTTGTGTAAACAAAGTCAGTGCCAGATGTGATGATTTATTTTTATTTCTCTATATTTGGGTTGTCTCCCTTTATGCAAAGCTCACTGCTAGGAAGGATGCTTTACATGGTGTTCACCTAACCATGGTACCCTGAAAAACTGTCAGCTGTGTGCTGCGACAACGAGCCTATTTTCTGCTGGCCCTCAAGAGGGGAAGAGGGCAAAGCCCTCTCCTGAGCTGTCCTTTTGTTTGGAGAGGTCTGGAGGCTGCTGAGCTTGCTAAGCCTGCACAGTCCCCTTGATTCAAAATACACAAAAGTGCTTTGCTTTAAAGCAAGCAACTGTAGCCACTTTCAGATAGGCAGCTGTCCTAGCTTAGAGGCTGTCAGCCCGATTTGCTGCTCAGGACACGCTGCTCTGCAAACACAGTGTATGCAGTGCTGGGGTCTTTTCAGTGGAAAGACATGGTTGAGTTGGTTGGACAGCAGTAGAATTTGCTGGGGAAGGCTGAAAATTAACATCCTGCCATTTCCAACAGCATGACCGAGCTGGAGAAAGAAATAAACACTCTGAGGAGTGGCCTGAGAGCAGTGGAGACTGTAAGTATTATTTAAATCAAATATAGTTCAGCCTAGCTCTGAGCACCATGGCATCCCTCCTTATGGAGGCAGGCAGGGGAGCTCCCAGCAAAGCTGCTTTTATCTCACATGCTGGAGATCTGTTTGTCTTTATTCCCTGCCCTGCACGTGTGCCTGTCCTTCTAGGGGTGTTTTGCCACCAAAGTAACAACCGTGTGTGGTTAGGCATTGTGTGTGGTTTATATCTAATATGCCAAGAGAGGCTGAGTAAGTCTAGTGATGATGCCCATGGAGGACCTGTGATATACGGAGGGGTCTCCTTTTGTCTGTGTAACCACAAAGGGCTGGGGCTCAGTCTGGGGAGCACTTCTGCAGCCCAGCTGGAGTGATGTTGAAATGGTGAAGTATAACGAAAGATTCACTGTCTTGCTAAATTATGCTGCTTCTACATCTCTCCTTCAGTATTTGGCCTTAAAAATATACTGCAGGCATGATACTGTAAAATGGGGTGATCTGTAGTCTCACGCATGGCAGGAGGGAGCCACGATGGCGATACAGTACCCATAGCACTGACGCAGGCACACTCAATGGTGCTACCAGAAGCCAGTGGTATTTGTGTCATTCATCACCTAGGGCCTGACCAGATTTACTTTTTATTTCCCCAAAGGAGCTGGACTTCCAGAAGTCTCAGGTTCAGCAAACAGGTGACAAGTTTGTGTCTGTTGTCAGCCAGTTCATCACATTAGCCAGCTTCAGCTTCTCAGATGTTGAAGATCTTCTGATGGAAGCGAAAGAGCTGGTAAGGTCACCAATGTCCTTGAGATCTGGGTAGCATCTGAGCCTTTCCTTCAGCCAACAGGGGAGGGATGGTCCCAGCCTTCCCAGAGCATATGCTGTGTGTTAACATCTCAGATACCTCCCCCACGAGATCATGTGAGTGTCCTGCTGAGACTCTGCCATGAAAACGGTGCTAGCCTGCTATTCATATTTGGTTTGAGTGGGTGGGTGGGTTCGTCCCTGTCTGTCCCCAAGGCCTTTTTCCTGGTACACAACCCAACATGCCAGGGGATTGCAGGTCGGGCCGACAGACTGCTTCTAGGGCACAAGATGTGGTGTAGAAAGCCATGAGATACCTGTCTGTCTTCCGGAAGTGCAAGGCAGGGGCTAGTCATGGTAGAGTTCTGTCCACCAGGGAAGGAGATGGTAGGTCATTTGTGAGGATCTGAATTTTGGTGAAGAACTTTCACTCAAGGGCTTGCTTTCCTTTCCATGTCTTAAAATGGAAGTATACCAGTCCCGTTGGCTTCAGAGTTAGGAGTGTGGCAGCTGGGGCATCTTGGCCAATGAAGGCTGAGGGTGGCAGGAAAGCAGGCTTTTCTGTCTGCTGTTGATGGAAGCTAAAAATGTAACCAGGTCCTCAGGCTGGACATGAGGTCACCCAGAGGTTGATATCAGAGATAACCCAGGCTGCCCAAGTGACCTCACTTCCACAGGACAAAGTAACATCCGATGTGTAACTTAATTCTGAGGCCAGCCCAGCTCTTCTCTCCAGAGAAGAGGGAGAAGAGCTCAGTGACATGAATTGAGGCCAACTGCAGACCTGCTGGGTTAGAGAAGCTACTTAAAAGGTTCACCTTCCCCAGAGTAATGCCTTGGTGAGTGCTTTGCAGCCACGTGCATTGACCTTTTGCCATGTTGCACTTTTCTCCCTACCATGCTGATTTAAATCACAGCAAAGAGGTAGCTGTTGGCTAACATTTGTGAGTTCCAAGCACTTTTGCTTCCCCTTGTTCAGCAAGGGGGCACACAGCTGGTTTGCATTTCCTCCAAGAACAGTCCTCCAGTTTCTCCTCACTGGCCAGGTCTTCATCTTGATTGAAGTGGCAGGGAGATAGTCCAGCACAGAGGTCCCATCCTTGTCCCACTGCATGAGCTACCTCTCCAAAGACAGAAGTTACCAAGTGTCACCACCTCCTTCTCCCTGGTTGTACCAATGTCCACTTGGCACTGTCCTTCAGACTATCTGCCCATGCTTAGGCATTATGATTGACCACTGCCTTCCTGAAGCCATGGCTAACCCTGGCCACCCTTTTAAACTGTTGGCAGTGACCTGGCACATCTTCCCTGCAGTGAGTTAGGACTGTGGAGGTGGTGACAAATGCTCTTAAAACTGTATTGCCTTCTGCTGATTTGGCTGGATCTGGAGAAGGTCTGGTAGTGGTCCCCAGTGCCCATTGAAATCCACTGTGAAGTAATGTACAGCTGTTCCCATGATTATTGGATAGGATGGACTGTGCAAAGCATACCAGCTCTTCACCTTTTAAACACATACCCAGATTCAAACTGAGTTACTGCTTTCTCTTAGGAAAAAAGAAATATCATTGTTTTATAAACTTTATATCCTGTGAGGGTAACATTTTCAGCCTTTCCCCCCTCCCCCGAATCTCCTGTAACATCACAGAGAATTTAATATCTTGATGAAAATCAACAAGAATAACCTCAATTATTTTGACTTATATGGTGGTACCTCTCGGATTCCTCCCTGCATCTTGAAGTGCTAAGTCTCTTAAGTAAACAAAGAAATAAAGATGTCGTAAATGTCTTTTGAAGAGCCTGAGGCACCCCTGCAAATAAAACTAAATCATACAGGCAAGCTTTAAAAATGTTCTTCTCGGTCTACCCAGCAAAATCAAAGCAACTAATAAATCTGTTTGTCCTTTGATTTTGTTTTTCTTTTCTTTTAAGCATGCTTATCATCAGAACTTGCCATCACAATTTTAACAAACTTTCTGTGCACAAAGAGTCTCCTTCAAATTGGAAGTGAGAACAAAGGATATAAGTCCCAAGGACAACTCATGGGCTCCTTGGGGACTGGGACACATTGGCAGATTGTGGATGTCCTGTCCTGACCTTTGCTACGGCCTCATTCGACTGCCTTACATTTATGGTGTGCAAACAGCACAAAAGGCCGGAAAACTCCGTATCTCCCTACCCAGGGTTGTGCCTGAGCCCAGGCAGAAATGTCTTTTAGAAAGTTTCACCAACACATTTGGTTTCAATAGCAGAGCATGTGGCAATGATAAATAATACCCCAAAAATACTTCAAAGAAAAACTTAAAAGTGCGAGTTTCCCTTCCCCTGCCGTGTTTACTATTAGTTTTATGTCTTTGGTCCCACAATATTTTGCTTCCTTGTTTTTACTGCTGCTTAGTTAATAAAGTCGAGCTGGGGCGGAGGGAGGCTCAGCAATGCCAGAGGCAAGAAGGGGAGAGGGGACTCGGGAACGATCCAGGTCGCTCTTACAGGGCAGCAGGTAAAACATCAGATGATTTATTTCATGTTTAAGTCAAGGTTTGATGCAGCAAAGCCCTGCTCTCTGCCATGGCTGCTGGAAGTGTTTCTTTATGGTCCATCAGGTTGAAGGCTTCTCATGGGAGGTTTTGCCAGTGTAGTGGGTATCTCCAAGGCTGATGGACCCCTGTCTTCTCTCTCCCAGTTTTCCAAGGCTGTGAAGCACTTTGGAGAAGACACGGACAAAATGCAGCCTGACGAGTTCTTTGGCATCTTTGACCAGTTCCTTCAAGCTGTGACTGAGGCCAAGCAAGAGAATGAAAACATGAGGAGGAGGAAGGAGGAGGAGGAGCGCCGGGCACGCATGGAGGCGCAGGTGAGCAGACAGCATTGAGTTCAGCAGCACCCCTGGGGCACCTGGAGATGGCAACCGTACTGTACTGTACCCACTGTGGGGCCATTGTGGCATGGGGAGCACTGAAGGCTGGGCAAGGAGCTTTTGTGCTTTCAGACCCTCTGGCTTTTCACTCTTGATTGCTTAATTAACTAATGACCTTGGGTTTGTGAGATGTTGGAGCTAAAACATGCAGCAGAGCTGGTGCTGCCTGTAGGCTGCTGTGACCCAGCAGCAGCAGGCCTGGCACTGTGGACCTCAGCCCATGGGTTGTATCAATAACCCTGACCAGCTCTTGCATGCTAAGCACTGGGGTGGGATACCCTCTTGTTTCATGAGTTTGGAGGTCATTGTGCCTGTGTTGGGCACTCCCACAACCACATGCATGAGAGTGAGATGTTTCCTTTCCCTCCCCATCATGGCACATAGCTGAAGGAGCAGCGGGAGCGGGAGCGCAAGGCGAGGAAGGCGAAGGAGAGTGGGGAGGAAGGTGGTGAGTTTGACGACCTCGTCTCGGCCCTGCGCTCAGGTGAAGTCTTTGACAAGGACCTGTCCAAACTGAAGCGCAACCGCAAGCGCATCGCCAACCAGCTGGCCGACAGTGGCCGCGAGAGGCCCGTCACCAAGCTCAACTTCTGAACAACAAACTGCAACATCAAAACCCAACAGAAAAATGCGGGTTAGTCTTTTTGAAGTGGTGGTGGGGGGTTTCTTCCCATTATACTGCCTTGCAATTGAAAGCGAAACAGTGGCACGCTCTTTCTCCCCACGGGCGAGTGTGTGTGCGTGTATATACTGTGTATATAGTCGGATTGGGAGCATGGATGGAGGTGTGTCAGCAGCCCACCTTGATGAGTGTCAGTGCTGCCTCATCCCCTCCTACCCGCTCTGTAAAGTAGTTCTCCCCATGCACAAGCACAATGCCGCATCTGCGGAGCAAGAGAGGACCCAACCCAGAGACACCGGCGGTCCCCATGGGCCCCAAAGGCAATGGGAAGCTGCTCTCCTGCCCAGAATGCTCCAGGCCGTTTGCAGGGGACGCCTTGCACACAAGCCAAGTGGTTTAAAGAAGAAAAGAAAAAAAATACAGAGTTGACTGAACTTTAATCCATTGGTTGTTTTTAATTTTCTCATTGTTGTGATTATTCCAAAAAACTTGCAGATCCGTGCTTTCGCGCTGGTTCCTGAGCTCGGCGCCGCGGGTGTTCCCAGCGATGCTCTTCCCATCATCCTTGGGAAATGCTCCTTTTCCTCTTACCACCACCTTGCTAAAGGAAAAAGTTTACCCCAAAGTGCTTATTGCTCTAATGCCGCACAGATGTATTTATACTTTTACCATGTTTTCTGGCCCAGGACAGTGGGAAAGGTCAGTTCTCAGAGGAGACGAAGAGCATTAACTTTTGTGTTGTAATTTTTGTTCTTGCTTTCTGTTCAATGGGACAAACTGTATCCTCTGTAACGGTGGGTCAGGACCGAAGGTCTCTGATACACAAAGGGGCTGGTGCAAAACCCATCAGCTTTCACCCATTTCTTTTCTCTTTTCTTTATTGGACACACAGAAGCAGTGATGCCAAGAAACGCTCATCTCTTAGCCAGGTCCTATTTTTGGCTGGTTTGCTGTTCATTGTCATTGCAAATTTGTAAGCAGAACTACCTGTCAAATGTCAGTCCAAAAAAATGATAAAAAACATAATAAAAATAATTCAAAGCTCTCAGGGAGTAATAATTTAAAGGTTTAGAAAATTAAGAATTGGAGAATAAAAAGTAACCACCATTAACATATTAACATTTCTATTCTTAAATTATGCTGAGTATATAGAGGACTGTTACTTTTTACTTTTATTTATTTGTGGTGTGTTTTTTAAGAAAACAAAACCTTTTTATACCACCAACACTTTTGTGATCCTTTTTTTTTGTTTGTTTGTTCTTTTTCCTGTGGAGAGATGAGTTTGTCCCTGTTGCACTAGATATTAACACTATTTGAAATAAGGTTGGGTTGGTTGTTTTTTTTTGTCAGATAATCGGTATTACTGGTGGGGTATGGGGTGTCAGTTAACTATATGTACTGTATAGCAAAAGTGCTGTTTAAACTAATTTGTATAAAAAAAATATGGTTCTAAGCACCTGAAGGCCATGGGGTCTGCGTGCTGAGTGAAAGCTGTGAAATCTCTCTTTAACCAGAGTTGTCAAGAGCTGTGGTTTTACCATTTTGTTCTTTTCTCCATTGCAACTTTCGACACACTGTAGATTTAAAAAAAAAAAAAAAGACAAAAAAAAAAGACAAAGTTCTTTCTGAGTAGCATTTAAAGCAGTAATAAATATAATAAATAAAGCAGGTAAGCGCAAAAGCAACGTCCAGCACCTCGTATCCAAGCAGCTGCAAAACCTGCAGATTATGTTCAAAGGTGGAGTTAAGCACTTTGCTTTAAGAAGGAGGGGGAAATAAAGACAAAAGGTAATGATAATACTATTCCTTAACTAAAGTGCCTCTATTTATATTTTTTATTTATGGCTGAAAAAAAAACGGGGCTGATACAATTGAGGGAATGGACTTGGGGGGGAATTTAAAATATATAAAAAAAAAAGAAGAAAAAAAGAAGTTAAAGAACAGCAGTCTGGCCTCTGATGGTTTAAGGAATGGTTGGTCACACATGTTGTAGTTGAAAAGGCTGTGGGAGTTGCAAAGGGCGATCTCCTCTTGGGGCCTTGGGTGCGGGGCTCGGCCACCAGCACTCAACCCCAGCTCCTGCCTCCGCAACCCCAGTGCCACATCAGGACCTTTCCTGACAGATTTCCTCTTGCCCTTCCAAACCTGTTTGTTGTTTTGGGGTTTTTTTAATATTGTTTTACAACAGCCTCATTACCAGGCTGAGTTTGCCATTTCTTTGTTTTCTTTCAAAAAAAAAAAAAAAAAGAAGAAAAAAATATTATATCTCTATAAATAAATACGAAGGCTGTGTGCAGGTAATTCCATGTGCCATTGTCGAAAACTACTTTTAGATTGGTGCTGGTGTAAGTAGCCATTCTTTTCTCTTGAGTGTGTATTTTAAAGATGATTTTTTTTTTAATAATGCCAAAAAGAAAAAAAAATAATTCCATAATAATTTGTTAACTGAAGTATATGTCTTGGACCTTATTAGCTTTGTAGTGACCAAGGTAGTCTGTTAGGTGCAAGGATGTTAGTAGTCTTAGCTAGTGGGAAATGCTGTGTAATGTTATGAGACTGTACATTTTCTAAGATGGCAATATGCAATAAAGAAAAACAATTTTGGTGAGTGTACGTGACAGAGCTGCGAGTTAATTTTTAGGAGGGAAATAATAGGATATTTGGGGATTGAGACAGTTGTTGAAGAAAAAGCTGTCTGCGGGTTGCTCTCTTTGGGGGGTATTTGCAGTCATTGCTGGGGTTGGCTGATAATCCTGCTTTATCACTTTCCTGTGTGCTGGGTTTCAGGTGGTCGGGGGGGTTTCCGCTCTCCTGGCTTGCAGCATCCTCATGGTCCCCCACTTGTGGGCTCTGAAACACCTCCCAGATAGCGACCCCATTCAGTTCTCCCACTGCTTTGTTGCTGATGCCTGTTCCAGCCTTGGTGATTGGCTTTTCTTGAAGCCTGTGACTTAAGCAGCCACCTGGTTTGAATCGTGGGATCAGGTCATGTCCCTTTCTTCAGCTGACGGAGCTGGGATGATGCTGCCTGGGCTGGCCAGCGTGTCCCTAGCAAGCTAGAGATGTTTTCTTGGCAGTAGCCCAAACCCTTCTTGGCCTATTCACACTCACCATTCCCACACACCTTCCCATCTGGGCTCTGTGTGATTTTCTTCTTTTTCCAATGCTCTTTACATGAGTGATCTTTGCAGCACCCAATGCCCCAGACCTCACTGTCTGTAGCAATGGGAGCATTGCACTCAGACCCATATGCTTTCCCATTTGCTCAGGGCTTTCCCCAGTATAACCAGTAAGCTGGCACTTAGCCAGCACAGATGGAACATCTAACACATCCCTGGGCTTGGGGCTTCCTTTGGTGTGATCCTACCCAGTGTCGGGGACCGCCAGACACAGCAGCACTCTCCTATTTCTATCCCATGGCCTGTGTTGCCAGACACAGAGCATATTTATGACCTGTGTTGCTCAGATTTGGGCTGGCAGGGAGCACAGGGCAGTGGTGAAGAGCACAGCTACCACCACAGTGCCCAGCAGTTGGGTGGGCTGGTGATGCCCTTCGAAAGCAGCCTCAGGCTGTGTAGTGGCAGGATCCAAGCAAACAGGGAATGGTTTCAGCTACTCTTCCCTTCATAAATCCCCATGTCCCCGGCACAGGGACGGTCTGGGGTGCATCCATATAAGCAATAATGAATGCCCAAGCCCTACAACCCCATGAGGACCTGAAATTCTGGTTAATGGCATATTGCGGGTATCCTGGGCCGCACCAGTGTGTGACACAGGATGGGCCCCAGGACACGGACAAAGTGGAAGTGGGAGATGTGAGCAAGGACAGGGCGCAGCTTTTTGTTCAACCAAGATAATTGAGGGGGAAAAAAGCCTAGCAATATGCAAGCTTCCTAGCCTGCAAACCCTTCCTCAAGGCTGAAATAGCAGTACCTATGGCTTCAGAACATAAATTGGAGAGACAAAGTTGGTCATCCCAGAGGTAAGAGGACTGGGGCAGCACATGCTGGACTGGTGCTGAGTGAACCCATGTTGCCAGGAGCTCATGTCTAACGATGGCTTGGCTATCTGGGATTACATCTGTAATCCCAGGGTTTCTGTGCCCCAAATCCTGGCTGCTCCCTCCAATTAAAGCTGTGAGGAGGGTGTGCTGGATGGGCCAAACCTGCCCAGACCCGACAGTGCCAGGGTTGCTGCTGGGCATGGCGCTCCCGGAGGAGTTGTCCCATGGGGCCACCTGGATTGGTGGCACGAAACCTGCTGAGCCAGCTTTGTCTGTGCTCTGCTCCAGCCCCGCAGCTTTCTGCGAGGCAAAGGCTGGGTGGCTGGGAGTCCTGCCAGAGCCAGTGTCAGGTGTCACCTCCCGCACCCAACCTGTTATCCTTGGCATCACGCTCCAGCTTGGAAAAGATGAGTCAAGAGGCTGGGGCAATGACCTGATGCAGGCACAGCATTGCATGCAAAACTCAGCTCAGCAAGGAGGGCAGACATGGCTCGATGGGAAGACTCCAGGCTCCCAGCCCTGATGGCATCATTGCCTCTTTGGTGCCAGTGGCAAGGGGTCGCTGAGTGCCAGATTGGCAGGTGCTGGCTGGACTTCATGTCCAAAAATATCTATTTATTCCCAAGGGAGGGTACAGTGGGACCAATGGGTCTGTCAGGCTTTGATGTGCCTCCTGGAGACCCTCCAGAAAGGGTAAGCAAAGTGGAGATGTTGCCAGTCCTGCATTGCAGCTGGACCTGGCTCTGTCCCCAGTGCCTATGTTGCAGCTCAAGCAGCTGCTCTGGGGTAAAGCTGCACTTTGCCAACCAACATCATGATCTTGCACAGCCTGGTCACCAGATGTGTGGCTCTTGTGCAGGGCTGGCACTGCTGAGGCACTCCAAGGAACAGGCTCATCCCTCAATGCAGAGACCAGCGTAGCAATAAAACCCTGTAAAGACACCTGGGTAATTCTGTACCAGCCTGTGC